CCGCTTCTCAACAGTCAATCTAATGGTGTACAGGTTCCTGAGCCTACTGGGCTCTATCATATCTACATTTGAAACTGTGTATGGAGTCAGCCTCCACCACATCACTTCCTAGTGCATTCCATTTACTAACTACTCTGACACTAAAAGTCCTTTCTAACGTCCCTGTGGCTCATTTGGGTACTCAGCTTCCACCTGTGTCCCCTTGTGCGCGTACCACCCGTGTTAAATAGTCCATCCTTGTCTACCCTGAGAATTTTGTATGTGGTGATCATGTCTCCCCGAGCTCTTATGTCTTCCAGCGACGTGAGGTACAATTCACTCAGCCTTTCCTCGTAACTCATGCCTCTTAGTTCTGGGACTAGCCTAGTGGTATACTTGACAAGGTACGGGCTCCATGTTGGGGCCGCATACTCCAGGATTGGTCTTACATACGTAGTCTACAACGTTCTGAAAGATTCCTTACACAGGTTTCTGAAGGCAGTTCTGATGTTAGCCAACCTCTCATACGCCGCCGATATTATTTTGATATGGGCTTCAGGAGACAGGTTTGGCATGATATCAACTCCTAGATCTTTCTCGCTGTCCGTTTCGTGGAGGACTTCATCTCCCATTCGGTATCCAGTGACTGGCCTCCTATTTCCTCCAACCTAGTTTCATTACCTTACATTTACTTGGCTTGAACTTTAGTAGCCATTTGTTGGATCATTTCTTCAGTTTGTTTAGGTCATCTTGTAACAATCAGCAAACATTGAGAGGAACGAGTCTATTCCCTCTGGGAGATCATTTACATATATCAGGAACAGTATAGGTCCAAGGACTGATCCCTGAGGAACTCCACTGGTGACGCCTCGTCACTCCGGGACCTCACCCCTCACAGTGACTCTCTGTGTTCTATTGTTTATGTACTCCCTTATCCAGTGGAATACCTTCCCTTTCACGCCTGCCTGCATCTCCATTTTGTGCACTAATCTCTTATGTGGTACTTTTTCAAAGACTTTCTGGCAATCCAAAAACATGCAGTCTGCCCAGCCCTCTCTTTCTTGCCTGATTTTTGTTGCCTGGTCATAGAATTCAATTAATCCTGTGAGGCATGATTTGCCATCTCATATTACATTATATTATATTCATATTATATTACACAGTAATTGGTCATTATAAATGGGGCCTAACAAGAGCATGATATACCTGAAGAATAACACTAGGTGTTTTATTATCAACGCCTCGATAAATAAGTCCCAGTGTCCTATTTATTTCATTACGAACAATTATGCATTGCTTTTTTGGCTTTAAATTGTTACTAATCATAACTCCCAGATCCCTTTCGCAATCCGACTTCGTAATCTCAACACCATCTCGTATCTTGCAACTCTATTGTCATTACCTAGCCTCAAAACCTTGAACTTGTCAGCATTAAACTGCATCTGCCCATCTTTTGACCATTTAAAAACAGTATTTAGATCGTCTTGAAGGGATAGTCTTTTTCTGTGTTTATCTCCTTCCCGATGTTCATATCATCGGCAAATTTGCAAATATTGCTGTTCAAACCTGAATATAAATCATTTATGTATATTATGAATAACAGAGGTCCCAGGACAGAGCCTTGAGGCACTCCACTTACATTTTCCCACTCTGACTTAACTCCATTTATACTAACTCTTAGTTTCCTGTGGTATAGCCATGCCCTAATCCAATAGCACCCCAATACTGTGAGCCTCTTATCTTTTTAATCAATCTTTCATGTAGCACTCTATCAAAAACTTTGCTTTTGTTTGTGATATCAAGGTACACAACATCACAACCCTTACCACTATCAACTGCCTCAACTATGCTGGAATAAAATTATAGAAATTTTGTTAAAGAACGGCCATTAAGTAAAACCATGTTGTGAATCATTTATAAACTTATGTTTTCAATATGAAGACGAATGGTATTTGCAATTATCGATTCAAGCAATACTCCCACAATAGACGTTAAGCTAATTGGCTTCCTCCTCTCCTACAGATCTATTTCATTCTATACTAAAGCTGATTTCTTTGTGATCACTGTTCCCTAGCTCACTCTCTATTTCGATGTCATTAATTTGTCTCACTGTTAGTTAACACTAAGTCTAAAAATATTATTTTTCCGCGTTGGTTCCTTAATGTGTTGCTTATTAAGAAAGCAATCGTCAATTAATTCTAGAAAATCTTCTGCTTCATTATTCCCTGTTCTGTTAAGCCGGTTTATTCCACTAAAATTAAAGTCACCCATACCAAAAACTGTTAGACCTAGATGATCTAAATTTTTCATCCCATAGATGCTTTGCTTTCATTCTGAGGAGGAGAGTTCTTCTTGGATTCTTGGATGCCGATTGAAAAGGACTTTTGACTCAGCATCCCATAGAGCAGTCCCCCATGGCATAGCCGTTTTTGCCTCTGGAAGGGCACAAATGAGGCTCCAAATGAGGCTGCCCGGAACGCTATGCGTATTAGTGGCTTTAGGTATTGTATGTATTAGCTCTATCTTTAAATCCAACATTATGTTTGTAATTCATCTTCAATGTTTGTGACTTTACTTGAATCAAAAATCTAAATCCAGTGAGCCATCGGATACATTTTCTCTCCTAACAGTTCCCGTTCTCATAAACGTGGCTAATGCGAGGGATGACTAAGTCAAATATGAGTTGCTGCGCTACACTTTCCCTTCATCGTCCACACCTGCCTTCTGAAGAGGCTGTAGGGAATGTTATAGATTCGGCTACTCGGAACAAGTTCCAAGTAGCACGGGCTATGGTGAGCCCGTAACTTACCTGGCACAGGAGCGGGGCAAGTAGCACGGGCTATGGTGAGCCCGTAGTGAAAAAACGGCCGAGGGAAAGTAGGGCTGTAGGGAAATTCCAACCCCCTTTTCATTTCCCGAGCCCGTGTAGCTGGGGTGCCCCTGATCCACCAGCCATCATCACCTGTAAATAAACAATTATTTTACTTTTCAACTTTATTGAGTCAAGTGAAAGCATTATTAGTGAAGGTTTACTACGTCCAAATTGCATTGTGAAGTCATATATTAACATTAAAAACACGAGTCAGGAGTTTTAAAACTCATTATGCAATAAACTGGTTCTGACATTTTAAGGAAAATTAATTGTCTTTTTGCAATTTTTTTGCACATCCGTATGTGTGTTCTATGAGTATATAAGTCTGCGAATCCGCCACTGAGCATTTATCATGAAGTTAGTTTAGTTCATTTATTATACACCCCATACCCATCTTGTGGGCGGTAGTGGAAAGGGTTACAGAGGCACATAATGGGCTCAGGGATTGAACCCCACAATTCATTTAGTAACAAATGCAAGTTACAGTCTTGATGAGCTCGTTACAAAATTCAATACACATCGTCACCTCAACAATGGGTTCGAGATCGACCTCAAGTACAGTTTCTAAATTAAGCAACTGACATATGTGGAGAGCTAGCGTCACAATTGATATGTTTGTCCTGCACACCGCCCCCCATACAGTGGGCAGCTGTGGATAGGTTACAATCACTTAGTTACTACCTACAGATTGTAAACTGGGAATATTTGGCTAAGATTTCTGGTAGCAGATAATTGTTAATGAATTATTTAGACATCTCTTGAACATTTGTTATAGAACTCTGAATTCACGTATCTTTTCGCACTCCATCACATAGTGATGGAGTGCGAATAATTTTGTTGACACAGTTTACATTTGGTCAAGTCTACATCAGCAGATAATGAAAAATTCCAGATACTTATAACCGAGTCTGAGGCGAGGAGTAGTAATATGTAGAAGTCTGCTGATTTTATTGGATGATCCATGTATGTGTGGCTCTTTTTGCATGATAGTATGATTTTGCTTTTTCATCCATAGGGTTGTAAATCCGTGGAACCGCCTTCCCGCCGAAGCCGTAAACGTCAAAACTCTGCTGGGGTTTAAAATACAGATAGAAAAGATCATCTGGACAAATGGGGGACCTTTGACAAGCCGCCAGCTTCCTGTCCTCGTCGAGGCCACAAGTATTAGTGGCCCCTCAAGTAAATTCAGGTATGATGATAGATGGAATTACTGGTGTTGATTTCACTTTGCCTCAGATCTACACGATTTTGTTGAAGTTCTTAGTGACTATTGCTCTCAGACTGCTTATTGATAATCCAAGGTTATACTCAATTTCTTCTTTAAAGGCAGATTCTCTGGCTAACTCATCAGCTCTATCATGAATTCGGAGGCCAAGAGAAACAAATAAGAGACCAATTTAGACTAGTCTAAATTTTCTCTAACGCAGGTCCTCATGAGGTAGATATACAGACATATCAAAAGTGGTCTACTTTGTTGACCTTAAAAATTTATAAGAGCGAAGACTCATATTCTCATAATTTTCAGATATCTAAGAGCTCTTAGATACACTAGATACACTTAGATCTTAGATACTTAGGTAGCAAGAGCCAATCTAGACTGGCTACATTTATGTGAGGTGTGACAGAATGATGGGAACACCTCTTCCCTCAGTTATTAGTGACTCTGAAACCATTCTGATGGGTGACTTTAACGCACCACTTCTTCACCATTATAATTTATAATAATTGTGTTAACTGAAACTCCTCTTTAACTTTTCAATGTAAATATATGAACATCATCGTTAATTCTAAATGCCTTATTAATTTAAATTTCAACTTTAAAATTACTGCAGATTCTCATTGTATACCTGGAGCACTGATTTTAAGTGTTTTTTAAATTGAATTGTATTTGTTGTAAGTTATAAATCTCTATATATTATAAAAATATAAATAAATCAGTGTACCCAGCCATTTCCCGCCTTTCCCCATTGAATGATGAAAATATGGAAACCACTCAAGGAGCACAAGAATATAAACACCATTATCATTAACTACAACGCTTCTTGGCATTTATTTTGACGAAGATAGCACGGAACTATTTTAAACAAATTCCACACCTGTTAATAACCAGCATTAAACTAGTATATATGAGAAATAAGACTGATAATATAGGTGTTACGCTCGGTGAGTGGGCGGAGAGCTGGTCCTGCCACCTAGCGCCAGCGGACGGAAGTGGTACTCCCGACGTTAGCACTGCACGTGAAGAGGCTCCTTTGTCAGAATTAGGCTCGTTTTTATGTAAGTACGGCTCTCTCTTCGCGTTGGGCTACGGTATATTGCGTGCGGACGCTCGGGTCACCCTCAGGTTGAAGCCCGCGGGTACATATACCCCGGTGTTTTATGTACGGTTAAGGGAGAAAATGAGGCCATGCGTTGCTAAGTGGCCTCGTCACCACGGATGTCACAGGCCTTATTTAGCCTTGTGTTGGCCGCTCCCTGAAGGTGCTGGAGTCGTAGGACTGGCTATAGGCAATAAGGATCTTGAAGATCACGTCAATATGGAGAAGAAAGTTGTGTGTGAGGGGCGAGGCAGACGCCAGAGTCTTTGGGAGGCTGGAGGCTTGCGTCATAGATAGGGCCACATGTCTCAAGAATTTTCCCCGTATTTAACACCAGCTGGTGACGCATGTTTTGTGATTTGGTGTTTTAAACCACATTGGTCAGTCTTGGGTTATTAATATGACGCTTTTGATCAGTTAAATTCACTTGCTTGTATAGTCCTATACCTATGAGTCTGGCTTGACAAATATTAGACAATAATACGTGTGCTTTTAAACTATAACAAATCTAGTTTTTATTTGAAGCCGGAAGAAAGGTTTATTGATATTTTAACTGAGAATATCATCTGGTATTTTCGGAGTAAGCCTATTAGAAAATAATTGCTTAAAAGGCATGGGAAATCAATGCAAGAATGCCCAAATTTATTTCCCCTCCAGAATTGGTTGGGGAAAGTGTCAGACCTGGTTGTAACAATATTGCAAGATTGCAATATTAATATTTTTGCTACATAACCAGATGGTATCATGACACCAGGTGTGACAAATGTCTTCCACAGATGGCTTCCACAGATGGTGTCTCCCTCAATGTACACATCTGGGCATAGAAAAGCCTTTAGACACAACCCATTTTATCTATAAATTTAGACAAATTAGTCTGGTACACTGGGTTGTAAAGGTGATACAGTATCCTGTTGTTGTTAAAGATTCGCTACCTGGAACAAAAAGTTCCAAGTAACTCGGGCTATGGTGAGCCCGTAGTGCCTTGATATATAAAGTATCCATCCAATTATTAGCCTGGGTCTTGCCGCCAGCTCTTTATTCTGCAACCTCGTTCATAATTAAGAGTTGTGCTAGCAGTATAGAAGATGTAGCGAGTGTTCTTTAGCAACACGTAAAAAGACGACGGACAGATAAAGGACCAATGTTTATCTTGCATTATCAACGTGCTAAATGCTTGTATGTAAAAACATACGGGTTGCTGGTTTGTTAGTGTGTAAAGGCATTTGTATTTTACTTCTCTGCACACTAGAGTGCAACTTGTGTTGCAGTACTACTGCAAGTAAAAGTAGTATTACTTTCACACTTATCACAAAAAATGATCATGGAAAAGTGTGCAATATGGTACTGTAACATAGTGGTGCCTAAGCCTCCTTGGAAAGAGATGTGCAGTATGCACTCTTGTGTAATTTATGGTATGCCTAAGAGTCAAGATATGACTAATGGTGATTTTTTTACTATCTTGAAATGTTGTAGATGTATTGGATTAGGCCAGGAATTAGATGGAAAAATAGCAGCAGCAGGATGGCTGCAGTGATTTGTATATACCGGATATCACAGGTGACTTTTGTATGATTCACAGGATTAGATATAGTGATAGCTGAAATTCATCAGGATGGAGATTGGGACTAACTGTTGATACCTGCTTGATGGGGTTCTGGAAGTTTTTCTACTCTAGAGAAACCTAAATGTTTTCTTAAAGGAGTGCCGGACCAACCGGGCTGTGGTGGGTATGTGGGCCTGCGTGCCGCTCCAAGCAACAGCCTGGTGGACCAAACTCACAAGTCAAGCCTGGCCTCGGGCTGGGCTTGGGGAGTAGGGAAACTCCCAGAACCCTATCAACCAGGTATCAAGCCCAGCCCGAGGTCAGGCTTGACTTGTGAGTTTGGTCCAACAGGCTGACGCTTAGAGCGGCCTGCAGGCCCACATATTCACCACAGCCCAGTTGGTCTGGCACTTCTTGAAGATGTCCGCGATTGTTTCGGCAATATTTCTTGTACTCGCTGGGAGGACGTTGAACAACCATAGACCTCTGTTTATACAATGTTCTCTAATTGTGCCTATGGCACCCCTGCTCTTCACTGGTTCTATTCTGCATTTTCTTCTATGTCATTCACTCCAGTATGTTATTTTATTGTGTAGATTTGGGACCTGGCCCTCCAGTATTTTCCATGTGTATATTTTTTATATCTCTTTCGTCTCCTTTCTAGTGAGTACATTTGGACAGCTTTGAGTCGATCCCAATAATTTAGGTGTTTTATCGTGTCCATGTATGCCGTATATGTTCTGTGTCTTCTTATTTCAGCAATTTCTCCTGCTCTGAAGGGGTGAGTGAGTACTGAGCAGTACTCAAGATGGGGCAGCACAAGTGATTTGAATAATAGGACCATTGTGATGGGATCCCTGGATTTGAAAGTTCTTGTAATTCATCCTATAATTTTCTGGCCGACGCAATATTTACTTGGTTGTGCTCCCTAAATGTTAGATCGTCGGACATCATTATTCCCAAGTCCTTTACATGCTGCTTTCCTGCTATAGGCAGATTTGATTGTGTTTTGTATCTGGTATTATTTTTAAGGTCCTCATTTTTACCGTACCTGAGTACTTGTAATTTATCACTGTTAAACAATGTTTTTTTCTGCTGCCCAGTCAAAAACTTTATTAATATCTGCTTGTAGTTTTTCAATGTCTTCAGCAGAGGTAATTTTCATGCTGATTTGTCATCTGTAAAGGATAATACAAAGTTATGACTTGTATATTTGTCTATATCTGATATGAGAATAAGGAAAAGCAGTAGTGCAAAGATTGTACCCTGAGGTACAGAACTTTTAACTGCGCTTGGACTTGCTTTGATATGGTTGACTGTTACTCTGTTAACTTTAATGATTTTCCTTCGCCACATTGAAGGCAGTGGACAACTTAGTGGTGTGTGAGAGGGAGTATGATCACCTGAAGCACACCAGTACAGTAGTATAGTCACTGCTTCAAATGAGATCATTTGTGTGGAACAATGTGGGCTGCTTGGACTTATCTGCTCAAAATGTTTGAACAATATTGCTACATCATCCCAAAAAACAAACCATACTTATGGCCACATTGGTCCATTCAAAAGGCACCAACATGCCAATTACCTAATACCCTCTTGTCGTAAAAGGTCTGCATATCATTTACAGAAGTGAAGAAGGAAATTAATTCTGTGCCATATAAATACGGTTTTGCCCGATTCCTGCTTGATTCTAGTTCTACTACTCCCCAAGCCTGGTCTGGGGCTAGGCTTGACTTTGTGAGAGCTTGGTCCAACAGGCTGTTGCTTGGAGCAGCCTGCATGTACGCACAATTTTCCCATCTCGAGTCACTAGCAAGCAATTAACATAATGTTAGATAAAGGCTTTTTGAAGTGTGGCAACCTTTTGCAAGTATCACTAAGGGCAGATTTTGTCTAGAATAAAAGTGTACAGACCTTACACTTCAAACAATGAAATAACTCACAGCTGCCAGAAAAATTACTGTTATTACAGTACTGTACTTCCAATAAATATAATGAAAGGTCTAGAATTGTGTAAATTATATACATTTAACCTAGCAGAAGATGAAATATGTAATTGTTTAGAGGTGTACTGATATTGGTATCAGTGCCTGTTTTTGCACTTTATTTATTTATATATAATATATATATATAATAATTTTTTTTCTCTCTCTCTCTCCACATTGCACTGTCGGTAAAATTTTCTACCAAAACTTCGATACTGAACTTAAACAAATGTGTGGGGGTCCTTCATCTTGCAAAGAAATATCAATATTTCTTATAGCATCAGGCTATCTATTCAGGCTAATAAGACGGTATCTGTGCAAGTTAATAAGGCAGTATCGTTATAGGTTAATATAAATTTAATACAGTACAAGACCAATTTGAAAATTGTAATTATTTCTTTCACAGATCTTAAACCACAATGCCATCAGATGCGAAGAAGAAGCGTGAGCAGAAGAAGAAGGAAGCAGCAAAGGCCAAACAAATTGGCAAGAAAGTAGATATCAAGGAAGAAAAGGAGGTAACGTGGTTTTCTATTTTTGCTTGCCAAGGCATTTTCCAACACAATTTTGATTGGTTTATGTACTTGAAGAATTAAGGTGGATTTAATAAACCAAGTGCAAGTGATTAAAGGGAAAGTTTAGTGCATAGCTGCTGTGTAATGCTGCTTGCATAATTTTAACATAAGGTTATATATATAGTTATTTCTCGTTTTTGTTCAAAACAAATATGGAAGCTTTATTTCTTGGTAATTATAGTGTGGTTAGGCTTTTGTGATTGGAATACTAAATGGGTTAGTCATGTACGGCTTTTTTTTCTTCTTTTCTTTTTTCAATATCGGTGCTTTTTCAGCCTCAGGAAAATGGGAGTTCAAACAACTCAAAGAAGAACTCTCGTGAAACAACACCATTGATGAACGGCAGCACAAATGGCACTGAGAAGCTTAGTTCTGAAGGTCAGTACATTTGCCAATTGTATTATATTAAATTTGTTTAAAAAAGAAAAGAATTTCCATTTTTTGATTATTTGTAGGTGCCCTGATTTATTACAAAGAGCACAGCAAATTATAAACATTGCAAATACACTTAAATTCAAATACCATGTACTGTATTATGGTAACTTACACTGACAAAAGAAATATTTCATGTAAACATTGTGGCTGTTGGGAGTAAGGTGCCACTGCGTACGTATCCAATTTACCAAACCAATTCCTGATAATGAGGTGCAATATTTGGTGATTCCAGTATTGATGACAATCCATTCTCATTGAATTTTGTCCACTATCTAAGTATAGATAATAATTAGCAGTTAAACAAATTATCCAAAAATATGGCTAGTAATGTTGGGTGGCTATGTAGTCAACATTTTTACCAAAGATGGTAGCATGACAAGGGGAAAAAAAAACAGTGAAAAGGTAAATTATGATAATTTTATATTTAGTATTGCATGTAAATATTTAGGAGCAAGTTTCATTAACAGATAATGATAAACTCACTTCTGCAGAAGCAGCTGTTGCAGTATACATATTTTTCCATTTCTTCCTTAAAAATAAGTTGTATACGCTATTTTTGGGGGGGGGGGTTGATTAAATTATTTCATGCATAAATTCTTGCATATTTTAGTTAATAACTTTACAATTCCCCCACCTGGTATTCACACCTTAAGGTGGTTCCAGGAATCAGTGTCTGCAGCAAGGCCTCCTGGTTTACAGACTGGTTAACCAGACTGATGGATATGGCTGCTGGCAGTTAAATGAAGGAATCACTGTGGGGGATTTTCTCAGCAGGCGTTTGTTGAATTTATTTTATTTAATTAAGTGGACTGTATTAAAATTATATCTTGTGCTGGGTGTTCACCCATTTATGTGTAGAGGGTGTTTATATATACTGTATGTAACCTATATCAATAAATAAATTGCATAATGATAGGCTACTAAAACTATTAGGAGTTGGTCTACTGCTAATTATGAAGTATACTATATATAAAATATAATATATACTATATGTAGAATACACACTTGTTTATGCATGTTTTATATATAGTAAACTATACTATATAGTAAACTTATATATAGTAAACTATACTAAGAATAGTTTGTTTATATTTCAGTTATAATATTGCAAGACATTTGAATGTGCTAATCATCCAAAATGTTTATATATGCAAAACATTTGAACACAAGGGATTTCATTTATGTGATTGGGTTCATGATGATATTAGTATTTTATAATAAAATAAGATATTACAGTAGTGCTCAAACATTCTTTCTTAAATTTTGAAGAACTTATAAATATAATCTGCTCTTTATATGATGTTAGTACAGATTTCATAATCAGCATTATAACTTATTTGGACATAACAATATCCAGTGAAAGGTTGACAGATAATAAAGCAGGTGTTGTGGATTTCAGAAATTCTTTGCCGTAAACTTGAAGAAGATATGAAAATTGCTAGTGAAGCCCGTTCCTGCACTGGTGTCTTGGGCATCCACCCACGTGCTCGGGATATTAAGATTGACAACTTCTCCATCACTTTCCACGGATCAGAGATGCTTCAAGACACCAAAATAGAGTTAAATTGTGGTCGACGGTGAGTTCTTTGAAAGATTTGCATAAACTCTTTATTCCCATAAACTGTGCTAGAAGACATGGAAAATCTGGTATGCATTTGTGGTGTCTGGAGGAATTTAAATGTCATGAATAAGTCTGAAGGGCAAAGGGTGACAACTAGTAAAATTCAGGTGATCTTAATGTGTTTTGGTAATTGAATAAGAATACTGTGCTGTATACAAGTACAAAAGAGTGAATTGCAAGGTTTGGAAGATGGACAGATATGGTGAGAAGGTTTGATAATGTTAAAAATTCTTGAAGTGATAATGTAGTGAATTTGGTGAAATAATTTTTATAAGAGATAATTGCATATGTTAATTGACAGCCTATTGGAGGCACTTTACACTTGATTTGATGGAATGGAAAAAGGGCAGAGCCCAATTCTAGTACAATATAAAGTATGCAGACGATGCCACAGTAATGTGGCTGAAGACATGATACCCAAACCACACACCAGAAGATGAGGAGACGATAACGTTTTGGTCCATCCTGGACCATTATCAAGTCACACAGTCGACTTGATAATGTTCCAGGACGGACCAAAACGTTGTCATCTCATTTCTGGTGAGTGGTTTGGTCATTATATCTAGTATTAGGTACATTATAAGTTATAAATAATTCAACACCCATGCATGAAATTAAATGAATGTGTTAGCATTTCGGTCTGCCCTGGACCTTTATCACGTCATGACATGATAAACAGTGGGGCAGATCAGAATTTCATACCTGGGGATTGGATTGTGCTTTTCAGCTGTTATTGTACCACAATTTTTTATCTAGATTTCATCACTGAAGTCCTAGTCAACCACATGTAATTTAAGTAGCCAAATTCTTGTCAGGCAAGTCTCAAATCGAATGATGAAAACTTTGTGGCTGCTGAAGTGTGTTGTTATTTCATAACCCAAGATGATACTGTTGTTGGTATAACATTTTTGGTTATTTTTATCCCTTTATTCCCATTTTTCTTGCTTCATTGCCTCACTATTCATGAAAGTGGAAAACAGTATAATGAATTCTATACATTGTAGGTTTGTACATAAAATTAAATTATTTCTTTCAGGTATGGATTAATTGGTGCCAATGGCTGTGGAAAATCAACCCTGTTAGCAGCATTAGCCCAGAGAGAGGTCCCTATTCAGAGTCATATAGATATCTTCCATTTGGTACGTGAAATGCCAGCTTCGGACAAGACGGCACTCCAATGTGTTAAGGAAGTGGATGAAGAGAGAGTTCGCTTAGAAGCACTGGCTGAAGAATTGGCAGCAAGTGAAGATGATGGTAAATACCACAGCTGATTGATGTAGCTAATTTGCATGTTATTGACTTGTAAATAAATTTGTGATAGTTTACTAAAAGTAAATTATGAAAAAAGTATCCATGTCAGTCCAAAGCCACCTTGATGTTAATGACAAGGAAGGTTGAAGACTGAAAAGCAAAAATTCCCCTCATCATCTTTCTCCCTCACCTTTGTCCCCTCCTAGATAGGTAAAAGTTGCCTATATCCTGCTAGTTGGTTACCGTATTAGTTTCCAATGGACCAACGGAGTAAAACAAAAAGTTGTATTGTTTCTTGACAAGCTCAGTGAATCGAAGGATTAGATTATCAAAACGTGCAAATATGTGATGGGGGGGGGTTTAAAGAAGACTGGTGAGGATTTTTGACACTAAAGCATTGGGTGGGTGGCGATTATTGCCAACAAATGGAAGCATTTACCAAGGCCAGGCCCCTGTTTTGAAGGTCAGCAGCCCAGTGACTAAACATTGCATGGTTTGGAAATATTTTTCTAGACACATGGACAAAAATTGCATGTTGCAGAATAATTCCTATTTTCTTTATTAGATTAGTATCACATTGTGCAACCAAGGGGCTAGGCAGTGGCATGAATAATCTTGGTTTTCCAGTTATCTAAATGGTTTAACGTGTTTAAAGTTTGTCACAATTTATGAAGTAAAAACCTTGTTAAGTACACCCAAAATTGAATTCGTGGTGGTTCTTTCAGAATCTTGTATAGTTGTCGGCAATAATTTTGCACCATTGACAAACTGGGGCCGAAGGTTTATTTATCTTGCATTTAAAACTTGCAGAAGCTCAGGAACAACTCATGGATATATACGAACGTTTGGAAGACTTGGGAGCTGACACAGCTGAGGCCAAAGCAGCTTTTATCCTTCATGGTCTTGGTTTTACACATCACATGATGGAAAAGAAATGTAAGGAGTTTTCTGGAGGTTGGCGGATGAGAATCGCATTGGCAAGAGCACTCTTCGTCAAACCTCATCTGCTGTTGCTTGACGAACCCACAAACCATCTGGATTTGGATGCTTGTGTGTGGCTTGAAGAAGAATTAGCCAAGTATAAGCGAATTTTGGTCATCATCTCTCATTCACAGGTTAGTACATAATCATCTTGCACTTGTTCACTTATTAACCTTTAGCAGCTATGAAGAAATGGTAATTTCTTCAGAAATGAAGATATGATAAGACACCATAAGGAGACGACGACGTTTCAGTCCGTCTTGGACCATTTAAAGTCGATCGTATGCTTGAATCGACTTGATAATGGTCCAGTTCGGACCAAAACGCAGTCGTCTCCTCATCTTCTGGTGTGTGGTTTAGTCATCATATCCATGATTATATTTGCATGTAAAATGTGTTTATATGCTATTGTATGACTTATGCCCATTGAAATATTGATATGAATATAGCCATATATCTATATATGCACATAGCACATATATATGTTTCATATTGTATGAAACATTAAAACCACTAGTGACATCCTAATATATCATTTGACTGAAGAAAGGATGTAAAATAAAGCAAAAGATGGGAAAATTTAAATAAAAAGAAATTGGCATGCCTTGCCTCGCCATATCACTCGCCACCACACAACCACAGCTGGTGACTGCTCTCGATCTAATGAGTCTAGCCAATTTTGCTGCTTCACAACAGCTAAACCATGGAACAGAGAATTAATTTTATGATTATGCTTCCTGGATATTAAATATTAAAAAATAATATTGAATTCATGTGAGAGAATAATTTTTATACATACAAGGTATTATGCAGCTGTATGATTTGAGGATTAAGTGTTGCATTACTGAATATACAAAAATTTTTTAAAACATTCCAACAATCCTTAATGTTTTATTATAAATAAAATTAAATTATACACATGATTTGTGTACCGTGTATCATTGCTATGCATTTTGGGCTTTCCGATTCATTGTGACCTTGCATACATATCAGAAAAAATTCTTGCATAAAATATTAGACATGAAAAGCATTTAAACCATGGAAGCAAATTAGCTACTTGCCAGAGCTGAGATCTGGTGGCATTGTACAGTATTAACAACCAGAATGGTCACGGGAGCAAAGTTTTGAAAATTTGTAATCATATGACACTAAAATCCATCATTGAACTGATTACTGTAAAATCCAAGATGTTCATGACTCTAGTGTTGATCAAGACCACCTCAATTTGATCAATAGGACACAAGTTCCATCATTCCTACTATGGATAAATAATTTTCATTGGGTAAATTTAGTTGGTAGTATATAGTAGTTTGATTTTAGGTTGAATTGTGTGTACTTTGGCATCTTGTAGGGCCCAGAATGGCCATGTTGGCCAGTGAACCAAAGATGTAACCCTGAGTAGAATTAAGATATTCAAAAGTTGTCGTGTTCAAAGGTTAATGTTTAATTTGCAGGACTTCATGAATGGTGTTTGTTCCAATGTTATCCACATGGACAAGAAGAAATTGATATATTACGGAGGTAATTACGATGCATTTGTGCGCACGCGCCTCGAGTTGCTGGAAAATCAGATGAAGCAGTATCAATGGGAACAGGACCAGATCGCACACATGAAGGTTAGTAAGCTCTCTAAATGTGGAAGGATGAAGGAGTATTTTAAAGATTAGCATGGTTGACTTTTAAATGATGATGAAATTAAAAGTAAGAGATTTCTTTGAAAGTCTGTGGAATGAAAGATAGGTAACGAGTATTTAAACCCTTCAAATCATTGTTACTGTATTTCTGATATCCAAAAAAAAATGAACTAAAGATCCTGGCCTAAGCCTAGATAAGCTATTATAGGCCTAATTTTGTATGTGTACTCGTGGATGCTTGATTTCACAGGGCTTTTAAGGATGTGCTGCTTGCTTCTCCAACTGTTGTGGCAACTGCAAGTTTCTATTTCGTAGTGGTATTAAGCATTATGGTTCTACTTTTATGTATATTAGTGAACAATCAAGTTGGAAGTGAGTTGAGTTGCAGTATTTTTCTAGGTTTCCTCTCCCCAATAACAGTGGAACTTTTGTTCCACTTGGAATGTTTGTCCAAGTCAAGGGTGGTGGACCATGGCTTGGAGGATTGATCAGAAAAGTTGAGTTTGATGTTTCTCTGCAACCTATTTTAACTAGGATGATTACTCTTATCCCATTTTAATGGGAAGGTGGGCAATTAGTGATTGATTAAATAATTTGTAATACAAAAGTTGCTTTAGGTGTAATATTTCTTTTCCAGAATTACATTGCAAGGTTTGGTCATGGTTCAGCCAAGCTTGCTCGTCAGGCTCAGTCCAAGGAGAAGACTCTGGCAAAAATGGTTGCTGGTGGCCTTACAGAAAAAGTGAATAAAGACAAGTGTCTCACATTTTCTTTTCCGGATTGTGGTAAAGTTCCTCCCCCGGTAAGAGTTCTTCCAAATTTCTTCAAAGTTCTTAAAAATCTTCAAAGTATTGCATATCTCTTGGTAATATAATGAGCAGTAGTACATGTGTAGAAAATAAGGTATTGGTGAGATTTAATTTTTTTAATATTTGTTCATTTTCCTGATTATATTTTTTTTTGTTCTCAGGTTATCATGGTCCAAAATGTTAATTTCCGCTATAATGAAAATAGTCCCTGGATCTATAAAAACTTGGAGTTTGGTATTGACTTAGACACGCGGTTGGCTTTGGTAGGCCCCAATGGTGCAGGCAAGTCAACTCTCCTCAAGCTGTTGTATGGAGAATTGAATCCCTCCACAGGGATGATACGCAAGAATACTCATCTCAGGATTGCCCGTTATCATCAGCATCTTCATGAACTACTTGACTTGGATGCATCTCCTTTGGAGTACATGATGACTCAATTCCCTGATCTTAAGGAACGTGATGAGGTATGTGTATAACATTTAATATGTATTTCATACCTTTTATCTTCTCTTTATTTTATCTTCTCTATTTATCTCTTCTTAAACTTATTTTTCATTGATACCCATCTTCCAGGCATAATTTTAGACAGGAACTATCCTAAGTTACAATGAAATGGCTATTGCTGGTTAACCCTGCCCTGTTAGTTCTAACAACATTCCAATTTTTGTACTGTTCTAAGTGTTAGCTTGACCTTAAGAAAAAGCTATTGATCAGTCTGAAACGCAGATAGACACTTGAAGTCTTGTAGATTTTAGAAGCTTTATCGAGATCATAGATTTATATCGGATTATTTTATTCATTCTGCCATATGTATTCTTCCTCCAAGTACCCAGAAGTGCTCTAGTCCCCTGGTTCCCAACCCAACCCGTCCTAATAGAACCTTGCATTTTGATGTATACTCTACCCCATAGCCAAAAATTGTCGTTCTAGAAAATGGTAGCAGCTCGCAAAATTGACATTCTGCCACGTTTTCTGTTTTGTGTCCTCTGGTAGGTTAGGTTTGACAGTTTCCTGGTGTTGGGAAACCTTAGGAGAATGGGCTGCCCCACCATTGGCTATGACCCCTTGGAGGTCTCTTTAAGTATTAGAAAATAGCATCATTTCAAAAAAGGTTGGGAACTTCCGCTCTAGGCTATCTCCTTACCTTTTAACATTTAAAGGGTCTTCGTCATTTCTTAACAATTCTACTATATCATCAATGATCACCTAACCAGTATGTACAGAAATTTAAATTTTGACTGCTCTTTTATGTTGACTGTCTAACCTTGACTCCAAGCTTTAGACCAATTTTAAATTGGTTTAAATTTTTCCTTAAAACTGTAAGATTTCTCAATTCTTTTTTGTCCCTGTATGCTTTTCTTAACACAAATGCAAAATAACTAAAACCTCTTTTAACATAGCTCTTTTATGAAGCCTTTTAGCCATGTTTATGATTTATCTATGGACTGAATCGGAGGGTATTCTAGTTCATTTTTATCCCTTGCTGTTTCATGCTTTGGGGTAGTCCTTTAGCCTATTAGCTAGAATAGTTTTTGGCAAACCTCACCAGGACAGTGAGGATTCATCAGCATTGCAAATTTGTATTAAATGGTATCACAGCTAAAGGATTAAAGAATCAGACCTATTGTGTATAGCTGTATAAATCATTTATGCTGTGTCGTTCATTCTTTATGATTATCAACCTTGAGAGCCTTCTATTACCACAGTATTTATCATAATTGTTGCAATAAATTTCATAATTTTTTATATTGGAAACTGAACAGTACTTGTGGCTGTAAATGTATTCAACAAGATTATAACACCATTCCTGCACTCTCATTTGCCACTAATAGCCATCTTTTTGTCCTTTTAAGTTAGTGTAATTTATAAATAGGGAATGGAAATCCTTTTATCACAGTTGCTTTGTTTCTGAATAAATGAGAAAAATCACAGCCCACACAGTTGAGAAGTGTCCATTCCAGGAAGGTTCTGTGGCAGACCTTCGGGAAAAAGTTGGTTACCTTTGTTAGGTACTTGTACTGTAAGGCATTTCTAATCATTTTAAATATGTATTAATTTCTGTAACATATGACTGTAGTGTTTAACATGTTTTGTTTAAGCAGAATGCTGTTTATTGCATCCTGTCACACTGAAAATTATTCCTTTTGATGCATCTGGATTTGTTGAACACTGTTCAATTTAAGTGAATTGTCTTATTGTGTATATACTGTATAAATTATTTCTATATATATTACTGTATAAAAACATAAGTTTTGGGGAACACCACAACAGGCCTGTTTAGGCAGGTCCTGTCTATTCCACCCATTCTCCTATATATATATATGTCAAGTCTATTCTTGAACTGTGCAAAACTTTGACTCAATAATACTCTACTAGCTGCCTGCCCATTTCGCTCATCGACATTTCCAAACCATTACTCCTTAATTGAAGTTTCTCCATCTTACAGCCAGTGTTGCCTAATCGCTGGTTTGTATACTTGTCTAATACAGTACTTTAAACTTTCTTCTCAGGTCCGCAAAATCATTGGTCGATACGGATTAACCGGAAAGCAGCAGGTTTCTCCAATTCGTCAGTTGAGCGATGGACAGCGTTGTCGTGTTGTATTTGCATGGCTGGCCCAACAGGCACCACATTTACTCCTACTTGATGAACCTACTAATCACTTGGATATGGACACAATTGATGCTCTGGGTGATGCTATAAGGGATTTTGAAGGTGGCCTGGTACTAGTTTCTCACGACTTCAGACTAATATCTCAGGTAAGAAGCTTTTCACTCATTAGGCCATTATATTCATGATTTAGGTTGGCATAACATCATCACAGAAGTTTGATAATGTTTTTTGAGGCAGTTTTTGCATGACAATAAAATGTCAAAAAATGGTGGCGATCAAACACTGAAAGATTATTTTAGCTGGCTGTAGCACTTTTCCTACATTATATTCTTGCAATTATTCAAGAACAAAATTTTAATTTGAAATAATGTAATCTTTTATAGGTCAAGACATTGATTTAATATCATTTGTCAGCTAGAATATAAGTACTATACACGTATAATAAAATTCAAATATTTTACCTAATATTTGGGGAGTCGGTAATTGAAACGCTAATGAGGAATGTGGTATCCGTGTCAATCATACTTTCTTCAGAAACTCTTGTGTAACTTATGTCGTCATCAAAATTGGATGACAATACTGAAGATGTGATTCAACCATAATGTATGATGGGTTCTGATTTTGTAATTTTTATGCCAAAATGCAGAAAGTATACAACAATAAAATAAAGTTGCTAAAGATATGAAGAGAAATGTCTTAAAGATGTTAGAATTTTGGTGACTATTTTGCTCCTTTACAAGAAACTTGCTTATGCCCATGCTGGTGAGACGTTATCAACAAGCGTAGTCAACCCTCATCTTGGTTCTCTTCTGGAAGTGGCTTACGTCTATTGTACAAATGCGTATTTGTTTGTACTCTAGCAATAGTTTATCATTATAGTATTTGCAGGAAAATGTCTTGTTTTTAACAGTGAGAATGGGGGCATGCATTCATCTCATTTACTTAAAAATTGCATTGTTAACCATGCCTCAGAATTTACGGTGCCCATCTGCTTGTAGTTTATTTTATTTATATATATAAGTTCTTACATTCTTGTATAGTCACTAGCACGCATAGTGCTTCGGGCAATAGTTTATCTACAGTCGTTTTCAAAAGATCTCACAATGCCCAACTTGATGCCAGGCTTGTCTGGTGATAATTCCGTTCATCTGGGCTCTTGAGACTCGAACCGTGGACCCCACACGTGTGAGGCCGAAGGAAGGTCTATATTTCTATATATGGTGAACTGATGATATATATATAAAATATATTTCTATATTCGTTCTAAGTCTAGAAATGTCTATACTGTATTCATTCTGGCATTATTTCATTTGTTTGGTGATAGCAGGCACCTTCCACTTACACAGACTAAAATGTTTGTCAATAGCTAATATAGGCATGAGGCTAAGGTATTGACCTAAATTACATGTTAATTTCAAGGGGCATACATTGTATGGCAACTTAATTTTTGTTATTGATGTATATAATAAATATTATATATTGATATACAGTATATAATAAATTTCTGAGCGAAGCTCATTTCGCTTATGTTGTTACAAGATTATTTGTGCATTATGTAGAGCCTGAATTAGATTGTTTGGAAAACAGATAGCTCTTTCCTTCTATTTATCTAATTTCAATACATTTGTTTTGCATTCATCAGGTAGCAGAAGAAATTTGGATCTGCGAAAAAGAAACGGTCACGAAATGGCAAGGAGACATTCTTTCATATAAGGATATGCTGAAGAAGAAAGTTCTGAGAGACAATGAAAAAAGAAAGAAAATGATTTAAGTGTGATTATTCTAATGAATTTGAATGCAGTGTAAGCATAAATAGATTAATTGTAAATTGTTGACAAAATTGTAATATCTCGCTAGATATGTAAAGAGATCAAATTGTGTGATATAAATTATATTTTTATTTTTATTACTACTCCAGTATACTAATATTGTTTACAAGTTGGAAGTCATTTGTCATAAAATATGTACAATGTATTAATATTGTTCTTCATAATATGTTTATGCTTTTAAGTGTTGTACGAAAATTTTGTTCTCCCACAATATCAAATTGCAATTACTACTTTGGGGACACGTCATGTTATTCTGTTCTCGCGTTGAATTTCATCTTCCATGTGTAAGAACACACTATGCTTGATAACGTCAGTTAAATAGCTACATTTGGTCATTTAACATTTCTGATTGTGTACACTAGGTAGATGAAAGTTTATATAATACCTTGAGACTGGACTGAAAATGTTATTGTTCATTTTGAATGTATTTTGGAAAGTCATTTATCTATGTACATAATTAAAGCTGAAGTCTTGAGAGGATTTTTACATTGACGAAAAGAAGTTCCAACTCTAACTTAGTTGAAGTTGGAAAAATTGGAACTAGGGAAATTTGGGAATTTATTAAATTTTGTTTATTTTTTTTTTAGATTTGTTTAGGAAGGTGACCGATTGCCTTCGTAAATTATTGACATTATTTAGGTTTTCAGCTTTGTTTATGGGGAGAATCATGCTGTTGCTAAAATATCCTCAAAATAGTCCCAAAATGTTTTCGGGAATAGGTCATTCGGTGTGAATATACCTGGTTGGTTCACGTTGATTTTTTATTATTTTCTTTGCCAGCCGTCAGAATTCATATATTGTGATGGCAAAGTTTTCTTACTTCTTTTCGTCCAGGTATTAGTAACCTAATTAGCATTTGCGTAACTTTTAACGGGAAGATGTTCAGATTTTTTTTTTTAATTGAGGTTCTTTGGCTACATTGACTGCAGCACAACTTCATAATGCTATACAGGCTTGATTGTCACATTACTGAAGTTATTCCAGTTTGTTTTCCTTTTTAATACTTGCTTGTCATTTTCTCTCTAACTAAATGCTCAGTATTCATGTCTCTCCTTGTCAGCTGTAGAAGTATGTGGCTTAATTAACCAGTTGCACCATTACGTGGTGTTATGTGATGTTCTTTGGTCCATCTGTGATTTATCTGGAAATTTTTGCGACACTTTCTTGGGATACAGTTTAGTTGCAAGATGTAAATGGTTAAATTTTGGAATTATTGATTTAAATCTGTATAAGTGTGGGAGGGGAGGGGGGGGGGATTTTGTAAGAGGATTTTCAATCCTCTTACAATCTTGTAAGAGGATTGAAAATCTTGTTTGTGGCAACAATGATTGCTTCCTCTGGACGATTATTGTTTATGGGGGGTTTCCAAGTCCTGATGCTTAATTGAATGCATTGAACAGCATAATGCTCAGGGTTGATGAATACATGATATTTTTAGAGGAGGATTTTGCTTTTACAGGATGTTTTATCGCAAATTTCTTAATTTCCTGGGCAAGTGCGACAATGTGAAGAGGCACATGTGCATGCATACACACTTGCAAGAATACGTGATTCGGTTATACCTAAGTATCCACGTAGGAATAATGACACGAAAGCACTCTGATTTTTCCTATGTGGATATTTATACACATCCGTACATAATGAATATCACCATTTAGTAGGCAAACTTGAAGGTATATATATATATACACACACACACAGAAACAGATGTATACTGCATTCAGTATGCTTTGTAGTGTACAACAGTAAATTTATTGGCATAAGGTAATATTTAAAAAAAAAAAACTTGACCCTCTTATAACCGAGACGTTGTCACCTTTTTTTACACTGGGTGGAATATGACGGGATCCAGTATGTTTGCTCGGTTCTGCATATTATATCATCCTGCTTTGAATTCGGTGAATGATTTGCAAAGTAAAGAACGTCTGGGTCTTTAGCAAAGTGGAACTATTATATTTTTGGGGCATTTATAGGTGGGATGTTATGGTGATAGTCTTTATTTTTTGTTTTGCACAATTCATGTTGGTTACCAGTAATAACAAAATAACAGGAAGTTGTACAAGTTAAATTCTTATGTGGAAACAAGTAATTTTCATGTTATTTGTAATGCAGTTTTAAATTCTGCTGGTTATATACAACTCTTTGTTGGTTGTACAACAGTTTTGATGTCAGTTGATTTTTTTTTTTTTTTTTTTTTTTTTACAAGCTGTTTACACTGCATTTTCTCTAGGTAAAACTTATATAAGTAAATTATATTATTTTGCATTCGATATTGAAACTTAACAAGAGCATATTGTACATAGTTTTGCATTGCACACTATGTAGTGCCGATACTGTGTACAGATTTTTTTACTTATTTAACAGCGTGGAAACTTTTATGAAACATCCTTAGGATGCGTGACTGTATTAGAAATTATCATTCTTTGAAGATCTGCAATAAATGCTTTAAGAATGGCCAGAGTATGATTTTCTTGCACAGTAGATGATGCTGCAATATATCCTTATATTATCTACAGAAGTGTTATCAGAATGACTTATTAAATGTGGAGACAGCTGCTTCGGTGGGGAGTTCCAAATCGTAATGCAGAGTTGTAGGGCTGACCTTCCCAACTATCTGGTGCATTTTTGTCATGCAATATTGTATCCTGTTTTTAAAGCACAGTGGAATATAGCTGGGTGATTTAGATTGACCTCCAAAGTAACTATATTATACAATATACTGTACCTGCTTTTATATATTTTAGTAAATTAAAAGATTTATACAAATGTAGAACAATGTTTTTTCGTAGTGACAGGAAATGTCAGGTTTATTAAAGTCCCCATAGGTTAACTGTACTTACCCTTAACTAAGATACAATCCACATCTGATGCCCAACTCCTGGGTACCTATTTATTACTTCAATGTGTTAAAAATTTTAAAATAATTATTAAAGGTTGTATTTTAATCTTTGATGTCTAGATAGAATGGTCCAGTTTGAGAGCACCTTGATGATAATTCGTGGATTATATATAGTACAGTACATACATGCTATGCACTTTCACGGGGTGGAGAGGTATTGGCCCTGAGAGTGAAGGAGTAATATTATTGAGAGGTTATAGGTATTAAATGAATTGTTTGTTATATTCCCACTTAAGTAGCGTCACTGTTAAACAGTACCACCCTAATGTTCTTGTAAATTTGTCACATGCCTTATTTACAGACTTGCACATATGACTTTCATTGTTACTATGTTGTTCCCACTTCCTTGGTTTGTCTACCTGGTTAAGGTACTTTGCAGTGGTTCTGGTCTTTTGCTGTCATATGTTTGGGATAACACCAGTATTTAGGCTGTCTCCAAATAATGTTTTGGGTTTGTGATGAAGAGTTTTTGCTATTTAATGAATATAGAATTCCCTGAATATGTATCTGGTGTGGAGTGCATGGGCATGTTGTGTGGCAACCTTTCATTCTTGGAATTGGGACGTGCATTCAACTTGTGCTGTTTCTAATTTGTAAAGTTTAGTTATGTTTAGATAAATCATTAAAATTATGGCTGGATTAGATTGGTGTGCAACACCTGTGTCGTTACGTGGAACCCACTTCCACCCGCCCTTGCATGCTTGCCACCTATGTAGCGGTCACTCCTGTGTAATATACCAGGTTCCATGTGTATTCCCCTGGATACTCATTATCAATTTTGTCTCCATAGTGGGTCTTTTCTTTCTCGTAGATCTCAGCGTGCATATTCTCAGGCTTGTGTTTATGCTTCATGGCGAACGTGTCTGGTTCTTGCAGCTGAGCACTGAATTTTATTTGTCTCTATGCGAAGCGTTTTCTTGTTCAAGTGCAACTGGTATAATTTAAACTATTACGCTCCTCAGGTAATCTAGATCTACTGCCTTCAAGATACAGCCCCGCTCCTGTTCCAGGAAGGACCACTACGGGCTCACCATAGCCCGTGCTACTTGCAACTTTTTGTTCCCAGTAACTGAATCTCAAACAACTATTGCTTCTGGATGGGTGTGGGGTGCATAATATATGACCAAAAACTGGACAGCAGTTTATTCCGAGGTAGAGCTCAATGTTTGTTATTTGAGCCCCAAATGCACGTCAGTTGTTACCTGGGATGACTCGCGGCAGTTTCGTGCCTATATTTGTTATCTCTTTTTGGTCATGTAGTTCCTTGTATGTGTGATCTGCATAACAATTTATTACATTGGCATGTGTATTCTTGGCCACGATTACTTGTGATTTGTACAGCAATGTCTGCCGCGGCCAGTGTTGCCAGATTGGGCTATAAATAGCGAATTGGGCTACTTTTGAGAGCCCCGCGCTCCCAAATTTTTAATTTCGCTACTTGCTACTTTTTGGGCTAATTTAAAAGCAAGATGTGCTAATTTGGGCTATTAATGTTAAGAATGTACGATTGCGAGTTACATGAAAGTAACTAAGCTATAAATAATTGCAATTAATAATAATTGTAAATATTAATTAATACTAAATAATATTATTTAATAAATTAGTCCCAATTCAATGCAGAGTTTTCTTCCAAGCACAGAAACTTGTAAATATAAATACAAGATAATAGATAGATCGATAAATAAATAGACAACTTTCAAATATTGCACTAAGTAATGGCGAGAGGATAAAAACTAGACAGTATACATTACATTTGAAATTAATAATGGATGAATGGTAATAAATTAGTGTATGTTTGTATGTATACCAGACAAAGTCCATTTAATGGCAGAATTTAGCCATTTTGTGTAAAAACTTTTATATCTGATATTATTAATTATGACAGTAATTGAAAAAAGTCATAGTTTGTATATACAAGAGATGAAACAGAGAGCCATGAGCTAGAGCGATGTGCTGAGTCCATAAGGAGGCCGAGCTTCCAGAAATACCTTCCTCTGATTGGCTGTTGCGGGGAATACCAACACTCTTTTATGAATAAAATTTAAACTAAGAAATAGGTCCTTGTGCACAACAACAAGGTTGTTGTGAAAAAGAACAACAATTTCTGTTTTGCACCTGACAGAAATCTCCATCTAACTGAATAATTTACTCGAATAAGAGGGCAGAGCAGCGTATCATTATTTGTGTCAAGGCAACCCCCAATAATAACGTCACAAGTTAGGTAGCCAGCCCATTTTTATATAACATCTGTTATATCCTGCAATATTTAATTATCACTTTATTAACACTTTAAATAATTAACACTTCACTTTTTTGGGTAAATTAAAGTTAAAGCAGAATTCCATAAGCAGGACTGGTGGGCTGAACTAAGATGATTTACTAAGTGGATGGCACCTATAGCTGATCCCTTCCTGTGATTGGCTGTTGTGTGAATGTCAACAAAGAGTTTCTACCAATGATATGCCATTTATTATGCACCCCATACCATCTTGTGGGCGGAGCTTGGAACCTCCTACCCGAGCACAACAACCCGCCTTATGGGTTGCTGTTTGGCTATTTATAGTGCGTTGGAAAAAAACTAGATGGCGTTAGTTGTATTTTGTGGGGTAATTTGTTATAAGTGTAATTTGATGTCAACAGATGGCGTAAGCTGTATCTTATGGCTACTGTTGACCAGCCAGTTGATAGTGTTCTCTTCTGCCGACAGATGGCATCAGCTGTATTATTATTATTTTAATAATATTATTACATTAATAATAATGTATTGTTATTACTTTAAACACTGATCTATACGTCTGGTAGCTTATAATAAGGTTTTATACCATGCTGGTATTAGTGTAACTAGAATTCTGCAATTACTTTTTTTTATCTACTGTTGAGGATATGTAAGACAAATGTAAGGTTTTGAGGCTAAGTAACGAAGATAGTTACAAGATACGAGCCAGATGGTGTTGAGATTGCAAAAGGGATTATGATAAGAACTTAAGCCAAAAAATCAATGCATAAATGTTCGCAAATATGAGACTGGGATTTATTTCTCGAAAAGTTAGCAATAAAATACGCTTTCTAGTTCTTTATTTTTAAAATTAAGACCAGGGATTCTGTCTAACGAAGCTGCAAGCTAAAACACCGTTATCCTATAATGTTCATCTGTAGCTTGACCCTAAATACTCGTTTATTAAACGAATTTATTGTACGAGTTCATTAGGAATCAACGTTGTTGAAGGCAGGGTTTCCAACAAATACCTTCCTGTGATTGGCTGTTGCGGGGAATGCCAACGCTTATATGAATAAAATTCAAAATAAGAAATACGTCCTTTTGCTCAATAACCTTGTTGTTGTACAAAAGAACAACAATTTTTGTTTTACAAGACAGAAATTTCCATCTAACTGAATAATGTAGACCAATAAGAGGGCGGAGGCATTGTATCGCCGATATTATTTGTGTGAGGCAACACCCACTGATGACGTCACAAGTCAGGTAGCCAGCCCATGTTTCTGTAACACTCGTTACATCCTGCAGTATTTAATTATCACTTTATTAATACTTTTAAATACTTAACATTTCACTTTTTAGGTAGATTAAAGTTGAAGCAGAATGTCATAAGCAAGGATGGTGTGCTGAATAAAGATGATTTATTAAGTGGATGGAGCCTTTAGCTGATCCCTTCCTGTGATTGGCTGTTGTGTGAATGTCAACAAAGAGTCTCTACCAATGATATGCCATTTATTATGCACCCCGTACTATCTGTGGGCGGAGCTTGGAACCTCCTACCCGAGCACAACAACCCGCCTTATGGGTTGCTGTTTGGCTATTTATAGTGCGTTGGAAAAAAACTAGATGGCGCTAGTTGTATTTTGTGGGGTAATTTGTTATAAGTGTAATTTGATGTCAACAGATGGCGTAAGCTGTATCTTATGGCTACTGTTGACCAGCCAGTTGATAGTGTTCTCTTCTGCCGACAGATGGCATCAGCTGTATTATTATTATTTTAATAATATTATTACATTAATAATAATGTATTGTTATTACTTTAAACACTGATCTATAAGTCTGGTAGCTTATAATAAGGTTTTATACCATGCTGGTATTAGGTATTCTCAACACAATTTATATTTTAATCTTAATTAGTATTAAGTTTTAGTCTTAGTGTTTTTCCTGCCCGAAACGCTTTGCGTAATAGTTGCTTTAGGTATTGTATGTACTAGCTCTATCTATAAAGCCATCAACTTTTGTATCTTACCTTGTATGTATGTACTTTCCCTGAATAAAAATTTGTATTATTTGTTATTTGTAACTAGAATTCTGCAATTACTTTTTTTTATCTACTGTTGAGGATATGTAAGACAAATGTAAGGTTTTGAGGCTAAGTAACGTAGTTAAAAGATACGAGCCAGATGGTGTTGAGATTGCAAAAGGGATTATGATAAGAACTTAAGCCAAAAAATCAATGCATAAATGTTCGCAAATATGAGACTGGGATTTATTTCTCGAAAAGTTAGCAATAAAATACGCTTTCTAGTTCTTTATTTTTAAAATTAAGACCAGGGATTC